CCCCCAAGCCAAGTCCACACTCCCTTTATTCAGCTATGAGCAAACGCTCTTCTAGGTAAGGATGTTCTTGTTCTTTCAGAGGGCCTGAGGCTCTTGGCCTGGCCCCATGCTGCGGTCTTGGTCTTACCGGATTTCCGCTTTTCTGCAGCCAGGAGAGTCTTCCGCTTGGCTGCGGGTGGGGCGGGGGTGAGTGCGAATGCTGGCAAACCCCCATCCACCCACCCTCACTCAGGCCCAGGCACCTGCGGGACCACCACTGGGAGGCCCAGCCTCCGGGGGGCCCAAACACCGTGTCGTCCTGGGGTGGGGGGGGCCCGACCGGCCCGGCTCTGACTGGCCCCTGCTTGTCCCTAGCGCCTGGTTCGTATGAACATGCCCATCTCCAATGAGGACATGACCGTCCACTTCACATCTACACTGATGGCCCTCATCCGGACGGCACTGGAGATCAAGCTAGCCCCAGGTGAGCCAGGCGGCCTCAGGGGACAGGAGGCCAGCCCGGGGCCGAGAGCCCGGGGCTGAGCCCCACGGCCCGCAGGAGCCAGCCCAGGTGAATGTGCAGGGAGGAGGGTGAGCAGCCAGCTGTCTGGAAGGGGTCTGAGGACTGCAGCACAGAGCGCCTACTTTGGCGGGCACTGGCTCTGTCCTCCGTCTGCATGTTAGCACTGTAAGCATTCCATCTTCAGACAAAAAAACTGAGGCCCACGGAAGTTGAACTCCTTGCCCGGGTTCTTCACAGTCAGCTAGTGGTGGAGCCAGGACACAGCCTGGCCAGCGTCGCCATGGCTCAGCGCCTTTCCTAGGTGCCAAGTCCGCTTGCCCAGTGCTTCCTTCCCGTCGTGCGCCCGGTGCCCCACCAGGTCCTCCCCTAGTCTGACCTATAGGACCGCAAAGCTGTGCCACAGCAAGACAAAAACAAGCCTGTGCGTCTTCCCTGCTGCCACGCTTCCCCGACACCGGGAGATGAGAGCCACCAGTTGGGCACCGGGCCCCTCCCCCCGCCACGCATCTGTGGCCTGGAGCTGGGCCATGTCCCTGGGCGGATGAGTGGAGGCCGGTCCCTCTTGGCACGCCAAGTTCCACTCTCGTCTTCTCCCCAAGGATGTCACGTCCGCAGTTCCATCCTCTGTTTTCGCCGTCAGTTTTCATCTCTCTGCTGGATTATCTGTATCCGTATGTAAACACACGATTACTTCCCCCATCTTTTAACGTTATTCCCACCCCCCTCACTGAGTTTCCTCTTTTTCCTCCTTCCTCCATGGCGACCAGCTCTCCGAGAGACTGGTCTCTGTGGTTGCTGATTTCTCTTCCCCAAGCTCCACTTGAGCTCTTTCGCCGGAGCCGCTTTTGTTGCTGTTGATACACCCGAAGGTCGGCTCAGTCCTCCTCTCTGCTGTCTGCAAACTTTCCTCGGCTCTCACACCTTCCTTTTGGAAACTTCTGTATGTCTCTTTTTCTGGCTTCTCTCATCTCCCCAGCTCTGAACGCGCCTGTGTGCCGTGGAGGTTCTCTTTACCGTCCTTTATCGCGACACCAGTTCCCCTGGTTTTAAAAAGCATAATTCCAACTTTGTTCTTTTAGTCCTGACTTTCCCTGTGAGCCCCAGATCCATGGATTCCCACAAGCTGCTCCCCATCTCCACAGAGGCCCGGCGAGCACTCCAGAGTTGACTTGCCCGGCTTGAGCTCCAGATTTCCCCCCAGCCTCGCCCACCTCCATCAGTGGAAACTGTTCTGTCAGTTGCTCAAGCCGAAACCTTGGGAGTCTTTCATTGCTCCTCTTTTTTTCTTACCCCATTTCGGATTCACATCTGATCTTTTATCGTGTCTTCTTTGTTCTGCAGTTTATTCTAAAGATGTGGGGTAGAATTCAGGATTGGGTGTATGTCAGACCTTCTTGACTCTGTCTTCAAAATGTACCCGGAATGTGGTCGCTTCTCTCTCTTCCTGCAGTGCCACCTCCTGGTCCAGGCCTCTGTTGGCGTGTGCCTGGCTCACTGCAGCAGCCTCCCAGCTCGTCGGCTTCTGCCGTTGCCCCTTCCTGTCTGCCTTCAGCACAGCAGCCAGGAGGACCAGGTTAAAAATCAGACCCACAAAAATGATAAGCCCCTCGCTGAACGGTCAATTGATCGTTTTGTTGAATGACCAATAAAAGAGAGAAGATACAGATAGCCAGCACAAGTAACAAAAAAGTGAGCATCACTGCATAGCCTGTTGACATGGGAAAGGTAGCAAGGGAACTGTATAAGCATCTTTCTGTAAATTTTAACAACTTAAATAAGATGCAAACATTTCCTTGAAAAACACAAATTGCCAAGCTCATTCAGGAATAATTCACCTCAGTACTATTGTGTTTGTTAAATAAATTAAAGGTATAGTAGAAAAACCTTCAAAGAAAGAGAATTCCAGGCTCAGATGGCTTCATTGGTGAAGTCTGTCAACCATTTAAGAAAGAAATAATGCCAATTTTCTATAGACTCTTCCAGGAAATGGAAAAGGAAACTATTCTCTTACTTATTTTAGGAGGCTGACTTTACTCTCACACCTAAACCAGGCAAAGACATGACAAGAAAGCTACAGACCAATATCCCTTATGAACATAGATACAAAAGTCTTCAAAGCAATCTTATCAAACTGAAACTAGCAGTATACAAAAAAAACCAACCCTATAATACATGATGACACAAGTGGGTTTGTCCCAGGAATGCAAAATTGGTTTAATGTTTGAAAATCAATCAATATAATTTACCATAAAAAGGAGGAAAGTTGTATGGTTGTCTCAATAGATACAGGAAAAGCATTTGACAAAATTCAATATCCATTTATGGTTTTAAAAATTCTACATAAACAAGGAATTAAGGGAAGCTCCCTTAATCATATCATATCATGTCTTATCAGAGATACAGTAAAAGCTGTCTATGAAGAACCTACGGTTAATGTCATGCTTAACAAAGAAAGACGAACTCCTTTTCACCTATGATCAGGAAAAAAGTAAGGATGTCTTATGTCACCATTCTTTTTTTTTTGAGTTGGAGTCTCACTCTGTCGCCCAGACTGGAGTGCAGTGGCCGCTCCTGGCCACCGCAGCCGCGACCTGCTGGGCTCCGGTGATCCTCTCGCCTCAGCCTTCCAAGTAACCGGAACTACAGGTGCGCGCTACCACACCCGGCTCATTTTTGATTTATTGTAGAGATGAGGTCTCGCTGCCCAGGCGGGTCTCGAACCTGCGGGCTCGGGCCATCCACTCACCTCAGCCTCCCAAAGGCGCGGGATTACAGGCTGAGCCACCGAGCCCAGCTCTTATGTCACCATTCTTGTCAACATCACACTTGATATCCTACTCAGTGTAATAAGACAAGAAAAAGAAATGAGATCACACTGGCAAGGGCATCACCTTGGGAAGGAAGAAATGAAGCTACTTCTGCTCCCAGCTGACATGACTATCTATGCAAAAAATCCAAAGTATATCTTAAAAGTTATTAAAACTAATAAATGAGTATTATAAGTTCACTGGCTACAAGGTCAATATACAAAAAGCAATTGTATTTCTATATCCTAGCAATTTACAATTGAAATTGAAAGAAGTTCCATTAAAATAGCACCAAAAACATGAAATACTCCTGGATTGCTGGTTAACTCTAAAAATATATGTGCAATATTTGAATGCTGAAATTTTCAAAGCATTCATAAAAAGAACCAAAGAAGACCTAAATAAACCGAAGACCATATCATGTTCGTGGATTGGAAGACTCGTTGTTAAGATTTCAGTTCTCCCCACACATTGATCATTAAAATCAATGTTATGCCGGGCTCGGTGGCTCAGCCTGTAATCCCGCGCTTTGGGAGGCTGAGGTGAGTGGATTGCCTGAGCCCGCGGGTTCGAGACCCGCCTGGGCAACTTGGCGAGACCTCATCTCTACAATAAATCAAAAATTAGCCGGGCATGGTAGCGCACGCCTGTAGTCCCAGCTACTGGAAGGCTGAGGTGGAAGGATCGCCGGAGCCCAGCAGGTCAAGGCTGCAGTGGCCAGGAGCGGCCACTGCACTCCAGTCTGGGTGACAGTGATATTCCAACTCAAAAAAATATATATATAAATAAATAAATAAATAAAATCAATGTTATCCCAGTCAAAATCCCAGTGGGCCTTTTGAGTACAAATTTACAAACCAATTCTAAAACGTATGTAGAAAAGCAAAAGAAAGTAAATAATAGTTTTGAAAAAGAAGAATAAAGTTTGAAAACTCACCCTCCTTGATTAGAAGAATTTTTGTAAAACCGAATTGATCAGGATATGAGTGAAAGGACAGAGACATAGATCAATAGGACAGACTGGACTCTAGATACAGACTCACCTTATACGGTCAACTGATTTTCAGCAAAGTTGCAAAGATAATGTAGAAAAGATAATTTCAGCAAAGGGTGCTGGAAAAAATTTAGACAAGCTTATGCAAAAAGAAAAATTATCGACTCATACTGCCTTAGTCGCTCTGGCTGCCATGAGAAAATACCACAGCCTGGGGGGCTTGAATAGCAGAAATGAATTTCTCACAGTTCTAGAGGCTGGAAGTCCAAGGCCAAGGTGATGGTGAGGTAGAATCCATTCTGAAGCCTCTTCTCTTGCTTGCAGGTGGCTGTCTTCTTGGTGTGTCCTCATAGACCTTCCCTCTGAATATGCAGGGTTAGAAAAAGAGGAGAGAGCATGAATTCTCTGGTGTCTGTTATGAGGGCACTCGTTCTGTGGGCTGGGGTCCCACACTGTGCTGTCATTTGCCCTTCTTCTCGGTTACCTCCTTCTGGAGACAGGCCCTCTTTCCAAATATAATCACCTTGGGGGGTAGGACTCTGCATATGGACTGGAAGCGGGAGCATGGTTCAACCCGGAACACATACCTTCCACTTGGAACGGGGCATAGACATAAATGTAAAGTCCAAAGGTAAAAAACCTCTATGAGAAAACACAGATGGATAACGTCGGCAGCCTTGGATTGGGCAAAGATTTCTTAAGATACAAAAAACTTGAACCATACAAGTAAAAAAACTGATTCATTAAACTATATCAAAATTAAAATTTTGCTTTTCAAAAGATAATTTTAAAATGAAAAGACAAATCTAAGACTTCAAATATTTGCTACACACATAGGATTGATACTCATAATATATGAAGAAACGTCACAACGCTGTAATAAGAAAGTAAACCAATCAAAATGGGCGAAAGAAGTGAACAGACATATCGCCAAAGAAGATAGATCCTTCATCACTAGAGACATCCAAACTGAAACCACTGTAACACCATACACTGGTGTGATTGCTAAAATACCTTTTTAAACGACAGCGTGAAGTGCTGGTGAGGATGCAGGGCACTTGCAATACTTGCGTGCTCCTGGTGATCAGACGAGGAGGACCCCAAAAAGCCCAGAATTATCTTTTGGAGGGCAGTCCCCGTGAAGTACAAGCTCCCCCTGCTAGACAGATATTCTAGGAACCTGTCAGCCGCAGTGTACCAGCTAGCGTTGTTGTGAGAGACTTGAGTTTGGCGCCGTGTATTTTTCTTTTAGGTTCATTCAACACGTCTGCCCATGTTAGGATGAGTGATTCATGAGCACGCCTGCCTCTTCCATGCTGAGTATTCACCAGTTTTTTACCAGAAACTGCTGACCCCACACCCTGCCCTTCCCGTTCATCCCGTTTCACACCCGAACAACTTTTTTTGTTTCCCTGGATGAAAGTTCTCAATGGGAAATGTTTCTCTGATGTGGAAGAGGGAAGCCAAAAATGGCATACGCACTCAAGGCATAAAAATTGACAACTTCAAAAACTGCTTTGAAGCCAGGTGCGGTAGCTCACGCCTGTAATCCCAGCACTTTGGGAGGTGGAGGCGAGAGGGTTGCCTGAGTCCAGAGGTTTGAGACCAGCCTGGGCAACTTGGTGCGATCTTGTCTTGCCAATAAATCAAAAAATTAGCCAGGCTCGGTTGTGTGCACCTGTGGTTCCAGCTACTTGGAAGACTGAAGCGGAAGGATCACCTGAGCCCAGCAGGTTGAGACTGTGATGGCAGTGAGCGTGCCACTGCACTCCAGCCTGGGCGACAGAGTGAGACTTTGACTCAAAACAAAAAAGCAAAAAAAACAGTTTTGAGCAGTGAAAAAAGCGTCTCGATAGGTGTGTTGCATCAAACAGAGAGTACTTTGATAGTGACTGAAGTTGAAACACGTAAGAGCAAATACACAATTTTTTATGCATAAATTCTGGGTTTTTGGGGTCCCCCCTTGTACAGCACGGTGCAGTTCCTCGTGGGGCCCGGCCTTCCCACTCAGGAAATGCAAGTGTCCACCCACACCACACCCACATGCCATGTTTGCGGCTTCCTTCCTGGTCGCCCCAAACTATGATCAGCTCCATGCACATCCACGGACAGTGAAGAACAGGCAGTGGCACAAGCTTGGGATGAAGTGGCCCTCCATGGGAAGAGAGATACGCTGTAGAGACACGCGGCAGCACTCACGGCTCACGTGCGTCGCACTGAGTGAAAGGAGTTGGTTCAAGAGCCAATACCTTGTGTGATGCCATCACTTTGACTTTCTGGAGGATGCAAAACTAGAGACGCAAGACGCATCAGTGATGACAGGAGCTGGAGCCGGGCTAGGGGATCGACTCACACGGGCACATGGAGGAATTTGGGAGTGAGGTGGTGGTTCTGGTCTTGACGGTGGTGGGAGACACACGGTGACATACTGACCAGCATTCGCAGAACAGGGCGGCTAAAAGGGAGTTTAGCTATACGTGACTTGGACTGGATAAACCTGGTGCTTTAAACGGTTAAATCAGATTCTTTTACTCCTCTGCTCAGAACCCTCCTCTGAGTCCCCTGCCTGCTGCTCCCTCCTGGCTTTGGCGTGGCACTCGAGGCCCCTTTCTACCTTCAGTCCTCACATGCTCCCTTCTTCGGCGACCTTTGCTGACTGCCTTGTCCAAAACCGCAAGCCTCTTGGTATTTCTTGTCCCCTTCCCCGTTCTGCCAAGCAATGTAAACTCCGGAAGGGCAGGCTTTTGGTTTCTGGGGGTCCCGTCTCTTAGTCCTTGATACTCAGTGGGTGCTCAGTAATCTCGTGGAACACGGGGGTGAACGGAACGTGGCCATATCTCTTCCAAGCTCCCATCACCGCTCCACACACATACATGCCGACACATGCACACACACAGTGCACATGCGTGCACACAGTTACACGTGCGCACACGCAGGCACACGCTGGCTGGAGGTTCCGCTCGCGCGCCGCCTTTTCCAGGCAGGCTCC